ACCCAATACCAGCAGCAGCTCCATGGGGGGAAGCCCTGGAGTGAGAGCTACTCCTGTAAGGATTTAACACCTTGGAACCCCTTTGGAACAGTCTGCTCTGTTCTTACAGGGCTGATATGAGTCAGAATCAACGCGAAGGCATACAACTCCGCCCCACCGTAATGATTTGATCTGTATATAATTACCCATTCTTGCCCTTTCATGTAAATGAGACCATACATGTCCTTTTGTGATTAATTTCACTCTGCACGATGCCTTCGGGGTTCACCTATGTTGTAACGTGGGGAAAATGAAGAACTCTTGGACTCATCTCTCTGTTTCCTTAACTTACAATATGTCAGGAATCCTCTGGGGGTGGGGGGGTAGGGGGTTTCAGGTCAGTTTCTTATCCACCTGTCACTGTTCAGTTCCCTGAAACCCTGCCCCACTCCCAGAGCTAGCAGAAGGTTTACAGAACTCTACGTATGCATCACAATTTTTACAACCTGCTCTTGCTTTTGCTAACTCATACTCTTAATCATTTGAAACTCCTGGGGAAAAATTGGAACTGCCAGTTTTTGCTTCTCTGAAATTGAGCATGAATACTTTTTTTCAAATATCTTTCGTTTTCTATGGTCCATCAGCCTTCAATCACACGCACCTGTTTCACTCTATATTCACTTCGACATTCAACTGCTTTGCCAATCTCAGCACGATCTGTCTGTTCTCTCTATCCTGCCTGATTGTCAGCTCCCGGAAGACAAAGCCCTGGTTGCCCACTGAGCCCAGAAGATTGACTCAGGCTGACTCGTGTGCAGTATGCTTCATGTGAAAGGTGCTTCATAAATATTTTAAAACAGGATTAAATGTTGAATATATTTGACAGTAGTACTGCTCACATCGCTGAGAGCGCCAACATCGGCTAGGTCCCTTCTCTGCCTAGCAAGCATTTCCCAGCATGGCCCCAGATGGTTCATGAAAGCGGAAGCTTCCTTTGATCAGGTTTGCTGCTTAAGTTAGGGAATCATTTACATGTTCTATATGCATTTTCCCTTCCCCCCCCCCCAGAAGAGTACCCCACTGCTACTCAGAGACCCCACTGCTTCAATGGAAGTTTCCCGACCTCCTGGTGATTATGGGGGGGTGTGGGTGGGAGGATGGCGGGCAGTGGAGGTTTCATTTCAATTTACCTTCCTTTTATCATTAAATCAGCTTCACAAGAAGACACAATGCCCCTCTGAACTTTTTCAAAGGATGTTTGATGGCAACTGTCTAATGGCTTAAAGTGGTTTCACATGAAGAGCATGCCCTTTATTATTTTTTGTTATTATTAATTTTTCCTTTCCCCACCTCCCTTTTAGTTGTCAACCATGTGTATCCCTGTATTTGGTCTGGTCCCTGCCATATTACCTGGTCCTCACCCCAGGAATGTTCGTATACAGTAGCTTTTTCCCTATGCCCCTTTTGCATTTTTTTAAAAAGCTTATCTCAGCAGACTCATGTTGTCCTTGTCCTTTTGTGCTTGGCTTACTTTGCTTAGCAGAGCATGCCTTTTAAATGCTTAAGAGGTTTTAGTAACTACATTTTAACTAAGATAATTTTAGTTAAGTGTATTTAACTAAGATACTGTTTCTTCACAGCCAACGAGGCAATTCTGACTCATAGTGACCCATTAGGATGGATAGAGAGCCTCCTCTTTCTCCCTCAGAGTGGCTGGTGGCTTCAAACTGCTGACCTTGTGGTTGGCAACCCAATGTCTAACCCACTATGCCACCTACGTTAGTCAGGGTATATTAGAGAAACAAATCCACAGAAGCTCATGTATGAGAGAGAGTTTTATATAAGGGTTAAGTGCACATCAAGAAAACATCCCAACACAGTGCTGCTCAAGCCCACAAGTCCAACATTAGCCCATATGCCCGACACCAATCCACAAAGTCCTCCTCCATCTCACAAAACAGACACAATGATGCCGACTGCAGGAGGAAAGCCGAATCAATGAGCGTGTAAGCATCTCAGCGCTGGCAGGGGTCTCCACACAGCTGCTCCAGCACCTGGGGCTGCATCTGGCTAGGTCCATGCGGCTTCACCTTGGGGATGTCTTGCAGGAAGTGAGCCTTGCCAGTGAATCAGGGAACTGACTAAAGCAGCTGCACCCTGGTGCAACCACCACAAAGCAAGAAACCCGAGAACTAGAAAGGTGAGGCTCCTTGAGCCATTTATCCCTCCACCCTTCAATTAACCCCACATGTGTTTATCAGCCAGGTTGGCACAATAAACTACCTCACCACCCAAGTCAAGAAAGGTATATGTCAGAGTTGTATGTTCTCACCAGATTTATTCAGTTCTGTATGATGAGCAAATCATTAAGGAAACTGGATTCTATAAGGAGAATATTGTATCAGGATTGGAGGGAGGCTTATGAACAACGTGTGATAGGCAGATGACAACCACCTTGTTTGCTAAAAGTGAGGATGGTTGAAGCACTTGATGATGATTAAGGATTGCAGCTTTCTGTACAGGTAACGACTAAACATAAAGAAAACAAACATCCTCACAACTTGACCAATAGACAACCGCATGATAAATGGAATAATGATTGAACTTGTCAAGGATTTCATCTTGCTTAGACCCACAATCAATGCGCATGAAAGCAGCAGTCAAGAGATCAAATGAGACATTGCACTGGGTAAATCAACTGCACAAGGCCTCTTCAAAGTTTTGAAAAGCAAGGATGTTACTCTGAGAGTGCCTGACTCAAGCCATGGTGTTTTCAATTGCCTCAGGTGCATGTGAAAGTTGAACAGAGAATAAAGAAGACTGGAGAATGAATGAATGGACTTGAATTATGGTGCTGGAAAACAATCATGCAGCACCATGGACTGCTGAAAGAACAAACACTTGTCCCAGAAGAACAACCAGGAGACTCCTTGTAAGCAAAGACAGCCAGACTCTGTCTCCCTGCTTAGGACATGTTATCGGAAGAGATCAGTCCCTGGAAAAGGCCACCATGCTTGGTAAAATATCGAGGGACAGTGAAAAAGAGGAAGGCCTTGGATAAGAGGGATTGACAGTATCAACAATTATCCGGGGCCATTCGGCTCAATCTTCACTATATTTTGTCAGAGCTTGCAGTACTTTTCCATTCCCGCCTACGTGACATAGTTTTGTGATTATGTTATCTCCCCTCTGAATAGCCTGTCCTTGGGATGGACTGAGTTTAGCCTTCAAGTCTGCCTAGAAACAGATAAGGGGGTTTCCATACATGGTGTGACGTTTTTTTAGATAAAGCACCTATATCCTGCTTCCCCTTGATTGGGTAGGAGATTGTCTTCACCCTATTTACATATCTAATGCCTGCACCTGATTTGCATAAAATGACGTCACTTCGCGTACCTGGTTGAAGACTGTAAACCGTTACTGAGGGCGCACTCGGACTCCTTGATTGGTCTATTACCAAAGTGGTCTAATTTACATGTGCGATGGGGTGCAACCTATCTAGGCTGCAACCTCTCACTCAATAAAGAGAGACTTGATCAGAATACTGTCTTGTCTCCATTTCTCATGTCTCTTGTTCCCCTCAATTCCCACTCCCTCCTCCAGGGTCTGCGTTGACGTTCCTGCGGGTCGGGGACAAACAATGGTCTATAACAATAGTCTCAAACAAACGTGTTCTGTTGTGCACCGGTACCTGTGAGTCAGAACAGACTTCATAGCACTTGACATCAACGTTGTTTCGTCACAGCTGTATTCAATCCAGTTCCTCATTTTCCCCTCCTAAACTAGTACAATCAGGCAGTAGTTCTTCTGTAACCCATTCTTCTGTTGAAAATGATCTCAACCCGATGAGAAACTTCGCCTTATGTTGTAGGAGGAGCCCTGGTTGCATGAGCTCAATAGTTCGAAGCCACCAGCAGCTGCCTGGGAGAAGCACGAGGCTTTTCTACCCCTGTAAAGAGTGACAGCCACGGGCAGTTTGACCCTGTCCTGTTGGGTCGCTGTGAGTCTGAGTGTTGTACATGAACCAGACAGGAACAACTCAGTCTCTGGTAAGAAGGAAAACAGTTTATTAAAGTGGGACAGAAAAGAGAAAAAAGAAACTGCGCGGGGACCAGCCACCTGAGTCTAAAGAGAGTGACTGGCCCCGACCCCTTCCAGACTTCGGTTTTTATAGGGTGGGGTAAACAATGGGGCTTTTTCACCTGTGTGTGCAAGCAAGCAAGAACAGAAGCAGACCTTGCAGTTAGCCTTGGCATTTTAAAGCTTTTTTTCTTGTAGATGTGTGCCCTTATCTTGCAGCTGCTATTTTCTGGCAAATGTTTGCTTGACCTTAACCTCAGGGGAATTTCCATAGCTTGATACAAAATGGAGACTGCTACAAGATGGTTCCATTTAGGCTAACTATCACATGAGTAGCCTCAATGGCCGTGAGCAGGTGATATTCTACCCATCAAAAGTACCATATACATTTACTAACACACACCCCCACCGTCCCAATGAATTGTTTTGCAAAGCACTCTGACTTCTATCTCTGATCTTATTTATGTCTTACATTAATCTTGCTCCTAAACGCTAAACTCACTGCCACCGGGTCGATTCCGACTTACAGCGACCCTGGCTAAGTGAACAAATCAGGGACCCCTACGAAGAAGCTTCAACACATTGGTGGGACAATCCCATTTTTCCACAGAGGTGGAAACGAGGAGAGGGAAGGTGACTTGAACAGTCACACAGCTTGGATGGACGGACACGGAAACCCGCTGACTACTGGCTCCGGTTCCAAGGTCGAGACTATATTCGCGCACAATTCAATTGCACCGAGTAAGGCCCGTCTGATGGGGTCTGCAAAGCTCAACGGCTACGAAGCTGCAGGAAGCGGCGAACACTGCGCGTGCGTGGAGCACCACCGGTGAGGAAGGACCCGGAAACGGGAAATCAAACTCCTCCCCCGCCTCCTGCCGCGTCCTCCGCCTAACGCGCAGGCGCACGGCCTCGGCCGGAGGTCAGCCCGAAAGGGGGCGGTGCCCAGAGCTGCGCAGGCGCGGTTCGCGTGCGGCCGACAAGATGTCGTTTCCCAAGTACAAGCCGTCGTCCCTGGCTACGCTACCCACGACCCTCGATCCCGCCGAGTACGACATATCTCCGGAGGCCCGGCGCGCTCAGAGCGAGCGGCTGGCCATAAGGTCGCGGCTTAAGCAGGAGTATCTGCTTCAGTACAACGACCCCAGCCGCCGAGGGCCCATTGTGAGTGGGGGGCTGGCCG